CAACCATAAATCTTATGCTACCACCTTGCCCCACTTGCCTATTTCAAGACACGTGCATCTCCCTGGCCACTCTTTTGAAAATCTACAGGTCGCATTACTAGAATCTGGTTTCCGCACAAATTATGATAGAGAAGCCCGTAAATCATTCCTCATCTATCAGTTCAACGCCGTCGCATCTGGTCTGAATGAAAACGTAGGAAAACTTAGTTGCCTATCTGCGTAACCTGTATCACCCTGTCTATCTTTTTTCAACCTTGCCCAGCAAGTCGCACTACTCTTCATGTTATGTGCTTTATCTTTTATTCGTTTTATCTTTTATTTGTAAACAACGTGCTCGCGCATGGAAGCAATATCTTTTTACTCGTAGATTAGGTGCCCTTCATATTGTGTGACTTGCATATATATATATATATATATATATATATATATATATATATATATATATATATATATATATATATATATGCCCATATATAGCCTTTCATGTCGGTTTTGACATTTGTATCTTACTGATATGCACATGTATATAAACAGCACTCGTGCCATAAACTGTATTCTGATGAAGGCCGGACCCACGGCCGAAACGTCAAATAAAATAACTTCGTACGTGCGTCTTCTTTCCTATACGAATAATATTTCCCGGACCCCAGCATCACTTTTGTTTTTGGTATATATATATATATATATATATATATATATATATATATATATATATATATATCTATATATATATATATATATATATATATATGTATATGGGACGAGTCACAACGCTCCCGTTGTGCCATATCCCATACGTTCACGAAGACTAACTGGCCCATTGAATTATTACTCCCACTATATATAATATATATATATATATATATATATATATATATATATATATATATATATATATATAAAAGGCACTTTCACATGGCAATCGCTTCGTTTCAATGACGTAGTCAACTACCGCAGAGCAGACATCCTTGTGGCTATAACCAAATTTATGCTGCCAAATGATAAAAGTACTGCCACATTTATTTCTAATCCTAATTTTTCAAGTGGAGCTACCAGCTATATTTTTTTTATTTTTTTTATTTACATGATACTGCAGGCCCAGTGAAGGGCCCAAGCAGGAGGGACGTATTTACAAAGCTCGTAATAAGGACAACAGAAGATCAAGAACATAAAAAGCGCGAAGAATAAGGACATAACTCAAACAATGAATAAGAAAGACATTTAACACTTTAACAATACAGGTCATGATACAATATGTTCAATTGAGTCTATGCTATTTATGAATAATGCTGGTAATTGATTCCATTCGGTTACAGTGCGCGGGAAAAAGGAGAATTTGAAAATGTTAGTTCAAGCATTGAAGGGCGTTAGAGAGTCGGCATGCCGGTGTCTTGTTCTGCGAGCGGTGAGTGGTTGGATGTATTGTTCTGGTCTCATTGACAATTTGTTATTCTTGAGAAGATAAAGAAATTTTAATCTTTGGATTTATGTCTTAGTTCTAAGGTTGGTATGTCATGGTCTCTCATGAGTTGGGTTGGGGAATCGCTCGAACGGTATTTAGAGTAAACGAACCGAACCGCTTTATGCTGAATCATCTCAAGTGCATGAATGTTAGTTTTTGTGTAAGGGTCCCAGATTATACATGCATACTCCAATTTAAGTCTTACAATAGATGTATAGGCTAGCATTCTAACACTTGCAGGAGCATGATTGAGCTTATGTCTTAAAAGGCTCAGTTTACGAAAGGATGACGCACAAATGTCTGAAATGTGCTTGTTCCAACTTAAAGTGTTTGTTATGGTAAGACCCAGGTACTTATATTCTGTAACTTCGTTCAAAGGTTGTCCTGAAAAGTTGTAAGGGAAGGATAGAGAATTTTTCTTATTGGTTATTTTCATAAAAACTGATTTGTCGGCATTTAGGTTCATATTCTACTTAGTACACCAGTCATATATATTACAAAGATTGGAATTAAATACTGATTTGTCTTCTCGGCATGTTATTTCATTAAATAATACACAATCATCTGCAAACAGCCTTATTTGCACAGGGCCAGTAATCACATCCACAATATCGTTAACATATATGAGAAACAACAAAGGACCTAAGACACTTCCTTGCGGGACACCAGATGACACGGGGAGGGATTGTGAACAGTCATTATCAATGCGAACGAATTGCTTGCAGTTACTCAGGTACGAAGATATCCAGTTAACTATAAATGCATGAAGACCAGTAGATTGTAATTTATTGATAAGGTGAACATGGGAAACAACATCAAAAGCTTTGGAGAAATCTAGAAAAATAGCATCTACTTGGCCCGACTTGTCAAGAATGGCGGCAAAACTGTGAACAACCGATGTTAATTGCGTTACTGTAGAGAAACCTTTTTTAAAACCATGTTGAACAGAAGAAAGCAAATTACGGTCATGTAAAAATTTGTGAATGTAGTTAGCTATGATATGCTCAAGAAGTTTGCAACACGATGATGTCATTGAAATTGGCCAATTAAATTGGAATATTTTCCGTTTATAAGAATATCGGTGACAGAATAAAAAGAAATGACGTATCGTTTCCATTTCTTCGCAAACCTGACATAAAAGTGACGCCTTTAGACCAACTTTATGCAAAAAATAATTTAGTTGCGGAATTCTACGACGCGATCTGATATAAGTAACTTCCAATTGCCTTGTTGCGCACCACTGTCTATTCCAGCAGCATCTTAGATGTGCGAAATCTCAAAATTTATCCAATGAGTAGGAGTTGAATTCATGCAAACAGAGTTTTCTAAACCTTATTGCTGTTGCGTAAGCCGTATCAGGCAAAATCGGGATACGGGGACCGCTAAGAGATACTGTGACTAGTGCATACGCCATCTCATTGAGATATATGCCACGATGGCCTGGTACCCATAACAGCTGCAGTTTTTGCAACTTTGTCGGTATGAGTTGTCGAAACATGTGCATAAGTGTTAAGTTGGCTCCCGAAGACAGAGCAGCACATACTGAAAAAAGAATCTGTAATTACTACTGATTCTGATTCGCCCAAAGGAAGTTTCCGTAGTGCCAGTACAATGGCAAATTATTCTGCTATGAATATTGGTGTGTAATCTGGAACTCTAACCTTAATCTGCTTTATTCCTAACTTCATCCTTCTCTTCTTTCCTGCCCCGGCCCTCGCGCTTCTTCTTCTTCTGTCCCAAGGCTCACACCACTTCAAACATCAAGTTAAAATTATTAGTACTTTTTTTTCTGACACAAAAGCATGCTTGTTGCTGCCAATGTGATGAACAATATTTTCATTGGCGCTACAATCGGAAAAAGTTTTTCGAATGGTAGACAGCCCCTTTAAGCTGTCTGCGTAGACATTTTACGTGCTGTCTCAGAATTGGAACACAGCCGACGACCTGAAGTGGCGTTGCTGAAGTGGCAAGCCACTGTAGCGCTGCCGTAGCACACCGTACTATTGTGTCGTCACCTGTCGTCGTCTTCTGGAGTGATTTTTGAGCAGCCGAGATACAAAGCCTCCGACATTCGTACCCGTAGTTGCCGTGCTGGTTGTAATTTATTAGAATGATTAAAAAAATATAGAAAGATGTTACACTATGCGTCCTTGAGCATTAATGTTTTTTTTTTTTTTAACATCACGACTGCTTACTTTTCTGAGTCATGCAGGTAAGTGGTTGTCGTGAAACTCGCCCTCTGATAACGTTATTCTTCAGGGCCTCCTCATATGTTTCGTCGCATGACTTCAAGTTAGTGTGACAGCTAGGCAGGGGTATATATGGATCAAATTAATAGCGATCTGCTCTTTCAACCCTTCCGCCGTTAAAACAGTAAGCTAGCAGACGATCTGGGTCTTTTTTCTGCGATAGGAAGTGTACGAGCTCGACTCCACAGGAGCAGCATTATTTATCTCATTAATCATAGCCTCCTCTATAACTTTGTGCCCGAGCGGTCGGTCCCTCAGCGCCGTCCCCCGAGCTATTATGGGATGCGAGCGCTCCTGGCGGAGCGCCGAGGCGCAAAACAAGAGAATGGATGGCAGCTATGGAGAAAAAACCGGCTTTGAGTAACTACCGAAAGGGCAAAAATGAAATAAGGAGGGAGGCATTTTACGATAATTCAAGGGGAAGCGCTTTACTGTTTGAAGCGAGATCGGGTTGCCTTAGAACGCGTAGTTATAAAGCAAGATTCAGTAAAGAAGAAGAACAATGCACATGCTGCGGGAAAGATAAGGAAACGGCGGAGCATGTTCTGATTGAATGTGGAGATATCCACCCAGGTGTACTCCTGTATCCGTCAACTGAGCTCGTAATGGTTCTAAATTCTCTAAAGAATTACGCGGAAGTTTACGCGGAAGTTACGCGGAAACGGCGGAAATTTGGTGTGTGCGCACTTCTTAACGTATACGCATAATCCAATGCAATGTAGACGGTTTCTAGACCGTCATAAACGCAAGCGTGCATAGGCCGCGTCGTCTGCTGTTATTATGGGATCGGTGCGGCATCTGGCGGCGAGCGCCAAAACTATAAGGGACGGATGGCGCGTATGTATTTAGCGCTAATGCGCGGGCACAAAAAAATATAGGAGGCTATGCATTAATGCATCAATACGTGATGGATGTGTTATATTATTACAGATACTTTTAATTTCAATTGTGTTTTGCGACCATTTTACTAAAAAGCTGCACAAAAGTGCGCAGTGCAAATTTGAAGTACGCGCGTTGGGTACACCGTAACCGGTATTCTACTGGTGGCGTCATCGCAAAAGCGGTTTGCTGCAAAGACGGTACACTACTCCATTCTGGGAACGCCAATAATACACGCGAAAAAAAAAAAGGTAGAAAAGAACGTTAAATAAGCAACATATTATCGGCCCCATATTTTAGTAGTTGTACAATGATCTCTGTCGAAAGGGGAAAAAAATTCATGAAAACAGCCGGCGGCTGCGGTTGCTGTAAATAACTTGGCAAGAGCGCATCTGAGCATGCGCACAAGCACATTTAGGATCCATGGACAGTACGTCCATAATTACTCAAGTGAACAGAGAAGAGGAACAACTAACAAATTTTCCTCCTGCTGATCGAGGTAAGTAGCAATATGGCGCCATTTGATGGTGTGGGGGGGGGGGAGTGCGGTGGGGGTGCGCGAGCTGGTGCTCACGCGGGGCTGTCGCCGTGCCGCTTGGGGGGCGCGTGCGATCCTTTCTGTCTTGTCGGGCGGCCGGTGGCGCCGGCCGCCCTCGATATGTGCCCTGAGCCCGAAGGTAAGCAGCGGCCTGCCCCGTTGCGCTGAGCGGCACGGCGCGGCCCAGCAAAGGCGGCAAGGGGGGCGGGGCGCCACCCCGTCCACGGGCGGCACCGCCGGCAGCAGCAGGCCTCCCCCCCGTAAGAGCGGTGAGTCTACCGGCGGCCAGGCCTCGGACTACAGCCCCCTGTTCCCCCGTGCAGTGCCGCCCTCCAGCAGGAAGCCCCGGCAGCGCGGCTTCCTCAACACGCTGCTCTGCTGCTTCGGGAGCAACAACCAAGGCAACAACCCCGTGATTGCCGAGGAAAATGGCCAGTACTCGCCCAAGGTGAGCACGATGACTTTCTGGTATAAAGCGTACCCACCGCTGTCAATGTAAGCGTGACTGTGGATGGTTGAAGCTGTGCGAGCAGAAAGCAGTGACAAACGATACAAAGCATACGAACCACGCTCCGTTGTTTAGCGCTGCTTTTTGCTCCGAATACTTGCACAAGCAAATGTGTCGGTGTGTCAAGTGCCGCGGTTAGCTGTGCGAGCCGCTGGCGGGCTGTGAGAAATCTTGTACACATTGGTCTGTGTCCTGGTGCCTTCATAGCCCAAGTGCTCCGAGAAGTGTTGTAATAATCCTTCGACCATCTGGTGTTCGTGCACTGACCGCACAGTACACTATGATGATTGCTTATGCTCTGTCAAATTTTTCGCTGCTCAAAGCACATATTATGCTATTCACATTGGAGCCGCGTTTTGTTGGGTCCTTATGCTCTCACTTTTTTGTCAGCTCTTGCTGCTCTTGTCTGTGTGAAAAATTGCTTTTAAATCAGGGCCTGCAAAAAATCATTTAAAATTGTACTAACTAGAATTTCACATATGTTTTAGAATTTTCGAAATGAAAGCTTGGGGTGGCTTCTCAGTGACGTGTCGGGATGGCAACTAGCAACATATTAGCGGCCAATTGCAAGTGGTGCACATAAGCAGCAACGAGTGAAGTGATCTTGGCTCTTTAGGCTACACGGAGAAGACTCGGTGTCCTCCTTGCGGGGTAGAAAAACTGTGAAATCAAAGTAAAATATTTTACATGTGTTTGACAGCAGTGCGTCAAAAGCCACTGCATAATAAGACAATGAAGAACGTCCCTGTCAGTACAAGAGACATATTGAAATAGTGAAAAACTCGAAATGTTGCTGGCAGTAATCTCTCCACCATCTTTTCTTTGTCACTTGTGTTATTCACAGACAGAAGTGAAGCCATGTATGAAATATGTCAAAAACCTTCCTGCAATAGCGGTAATGTTGTGGCAATTCATATTTTAATTATTCTAGATTCTTTCAAAAATGGCATTTTCGCAACCAATTTACTTTTAATTTGTAAGTAATGAATAATTTTTGCAGTGTGATAGTGCATATTTTTATTGGCTACTTGTAAATCCAGTTTCTTGTCAAAATAATGACTACTTTTTCACATGGTCCATTTGATCCTTGGCCAAAGAAGAGGTTGCTTACTGGCAAGCGTTGTTACATGTCATATCGCCATAAAAGCTAGATATGTTGCAAAATACACGAAACAAACATGCCTGTTGCAGTGCGTATTTATACCGGAGAGGGCCTCGTATAACTTCAATGCATAACGGTGAGTCACGCGAATGAATTCAACTGAAATTTTGCTTTCGACACACAACACAGCATCCTCAAGCAAACTAATTGTGGCATCACCAGTGCATGAAACACCACATGTGGCAAGCTGTTTCACACATGCACCCTTGTGAGAAAATCGAGGTGCTCGACACTAAATTTCTGGGCCGAGATAGCCTGTGGGGTCGGTTTCCGTGATCATGCGTATATTGTCCGCAAAATATCATCAGCTGAGGTAACTTGGAAGGTATTTTAAGTAAATTTTGAAGTTTGAATTTAGGAGGTATTCACACTCTTGAGGACCTCCATATTTTGCTCACGTCACCGCACTGCAGTAAAAAAAAAAAAGGTTATGTGCACATGTTGAAAATTTTGTGTTTACTGACACTGTGGTCCCGTTTCCTGTTGAAAAAGATTTTTTGATGTAGACCGTGCGGAAGTTCATCACCGTTTCGTGTGCTGATGGTGGTCGAGATCTGCACACGCTATGTGGTGGTAGTTGCACCCAGCAGCTTGTCTTTGGAGCTGTCTCAAACCGAAACTGAGATTGGTCAGTAATGAGAAGCCTGTAATTATCTATTGCGCGCTGCAGAAGACAGTGTGCCGTGTTGTGACAAACAGGCCCCTAGCAACACATTGCATTAAAAAAACACGAGGCCAAAGATTTTGTGTAGGTACCTCCTTTTCTGTGGGAGATATTGAAGGCATGTACATGCTTGTCTGCCTCCCTGTGTACATGCAAAGCCTTGCTAATCTCTTCGACGTCCATACCCCAACACCCGACTAGCGTGTAATGCTATACTACTCAACGTATAGGCATGGCTAAAGTGCGTGCCGATTCAAATGTCATGGTGATCATCAGGCCAGTTTGGCCAAGAGTGATACTCAATAGAGGGAAGACAGCTGTAATTAACTGTGCTCCCTCTTATTTCCACCCATGTGCCTTTTGCACTTGTGGGAACACAATTTTCATGGTGATTTGATGGCAATGTGCTTCTCGATGGAACAGAAAATGCTTGAGGCCAGCGTACCTTGATTCAGCCATCCGTTAAAAAAAAAAAAAAAAGGGTGGTTGAAAATTTTTTGAGCCTTTCAATGTGGTCTCTCTCCTAATCATATTTGGAGTCGATAAATGCCATCAATTATTATAATTGTAATGCAATGACACTCCGCAGCAGCAACCTCTGAACAGAGGTTGCTGCTGCGGTGTGTCATTGCAATTAAGCACCTGCCTCCTTTAATCAACTGAAGGGCATTGATGAGACCCTTGTGCTAATGTCATGCATCTCCACCAGAGCTTTATTCTCACTACATGTGTTTCACATCACTGTCATGATTACCTGCTATAGCGCTCTGAATTTAAGGCCCTTTACGGCCACTTCTTGTATAGTTAAATTTTTTTGTGTGTGTTTGGTCTTAAAGTGCCCCTTGCACCATAACACACCACATATTATCACCTATTTGGAATTACACGTGAGGTAAGGCCAACATCTTTAGTGCAAGACCTGGCAAAAGGAGATTAGCCACCTTTGTGCTGTTCATCGTTTTAATGTAAACTTAGCAGAGGACATAGAACGGTATGTGCGACCAGGCTAAGTGTATAGTTTCCGCTTGAGCCTCTGGGAAGATGGCCATTAACATGTCTCTTCCCTTCTTGAGACTCTATTGTTGGCTGCCCCCGCGTGCTGCAATACTCACTCACTCGCACCTTGCATATACAGTAAAAGCCCATAAAGTCAGATTTCTTGGGAACAAAAAAAATGTCTGAATTAACTGAATGTTGCATTATACAAATGTACATTACATCTATACCATTTTATTTGTTTGATGAATATGAAAATCTTGTGCCTATTCATCACAATCGCAGTATCAAAAGTAGCAGTTTTCATCATTCCACGCTCACACAGTCACCAGGCAAATAGCCCCGTGTTGCGGTTATGCTTGTGACACTGTCTTCGCCAGCACAATAGCTGGCAGCAGATAAGAATTTTGAGGGAGTACATGCATTCATTTCTTTCTCGGGGAGATGTTGGTACTGTCATCATGGATTTGATGCCAATCCTGGAAAGCACCCCCTCAACATTGCTGGTAATTTCGAGGGGGTTGCTTGCTTGGGATTTTTTGGTACAGTGAAAGGAGGCAATGATGTTTGTGTGTGCTTAAGTCAAGTGCACTTGCCGTCCTTATGCAAAAAAATTTATCAATGTTCTAACCTACAGGTGAACATTGTTGTAAGTTTCATCGTTTAAATATGTGATACGTGCTCTAATATTGTAAGTAAAGGCTGATATGCCCAGTCTATTTCTTCAAAATTAATATAGCTGTTCCAAGCCTGCTCCGAAGCTGCGTTTTTCTTGCCCAAGACCACGGTGTTAGAAGTATATTAGGTGGATTGACGGCACCTCTTGAAGCGAAGAACTTCTGTCCCTTGTTTTGGGGAGAGGGCCCGAGATGGCGCCACAATGACCATGGCTCAGGCGCAGGTCCTTTCGAAGCCGCGAAACCAACACGAGAAAAAACAGTCTTCGTTCGATAACGAGTGTAAAAGTAAATAAATTTTTAACAGCGCAAACAATTACTACATTTTGACGATACAGCATAGATAGCTGTGGAAAATGTCCTTTTTTTTATTAAAATGATGAAATGGAGAGGTTGGTGTCATTATGGTGGCACCGGCTACTCCTTTTCTCATAGTAAACAAGATATGGAAAATGTTTAATTTATCACATGGAAGGTTCGGGATAGGAGCATAGGTTTTCACATTCACAAACATCAGATTGTGAATTTAAACGTGTGACGGTAAAGTCCCGTGTAGTTATGACAAAAGTTACATCCTGGTTCGATAGTAGTTTCGATAGTAGTTAGATAAAATTAACTTGGTAATCGAAGTCTTGTAGTAGAAAAACTTAATATCTATTTTTGTTGCGGTGTTTCGATAGTAGTTAGATAAAATTAACTTGGTAATCGAAGTCTTGTAGTAGAAAAACTTAATATCTATTTTTGTTGCGGCGGTCACATTTCAATGAAGCAGGCCCGAGTGCTGTGCGATGAGAACGTGTGAACTTGAGCTTCTTGGTATATATTTAAAGTAAAAAAAAAAGTGCGAAAAAACGAAAGACGAAACACAATTCTGCGATGCCATTGCACGTTATAGAACACCACATTGTCGAAAATTCCGGAGCTTTTCTCTACGGCGTGCCTCATATTCATATTGTGGTTTCAGCTCATAAAACAGCAGATATTTTCATTGTTAACAAGCGTAGTTCTCACTCGGAAAGAGGAGAGCGGCACATGTAGGTCTATACCCGGCAGGGGCGCCTGCGCAAGTAGGCGTTTGGTGTGTAGCGACACCACGGACCCGAGCTAACGGGGAAGTTTCGGCTCCCTTTCACGCCTAGCCGTGCGTGGCTTTGCCGTGTCCGGGGAAAAGGGGATCCTGGGGGTTGAGCCAATGCTGGGTGATTGGACCTTTAAGGCCCCCCGGAAGAGGCAACACACCCCTTTGGCCCCGGCTTCACGTAGACGGCACCCCTGGGCTGACCCACCCAGGGGAAATCGGCAGTCGCCTTTTCTTATTTCTCTCTTCCTACATCTTAGTCTTTTCTCGTCTTTAAATCTATCCTGTCTTCTTCTCTCTTCCATTTACTTCCGATTTTTCCTGGCGGCAAGGGTTAACCTTGTGTATGTGCTCTGTCTTGGG